GCACCACTGCTTCGCCCTTACTATAAATTACTATAGTATATTTTCATGTTGGTGTCTAACGACTGAAAATGAATCTGGTAGCAGATATTATGGCTGCAACTGACGGATATTTTAATAATCGATTAATCTGTCAATTATTTTTTTGATTAATCGACGAATCGTATAAAAAAAAGAAAAAAAAACAAGAAAAATATTCATGTCCAACCCTTCATTTTAAAAAGCTCATCCCTGAGCTGATATAAAAATAATAATAAAATTAAAAAGCAAGTTTCGTCCTGTTTTCAATTCAAAATATCTAAACATTTTTAAATAAAGATACATACTAGATACCTGTAACCAAATATGCACGTAAAAAAGGGCTGATCGGAATACCAGGATGCGCATAAATTTAGAAAATGCACAGAAGAAATGTGTGCGCGTAACTGAGTAGGATAAACTTTTTATTCGATGAGAAAATATGCACATATACTACAATGGAAACACTTTTACCGAACAAATTTTATTATGTGCATGATGAAAAATGTGTGAATGAACAAACCAGCAGGCTGAGCACACTGTAAAACGTTTGACACGTTATTATATTATTAATGACCTCCAGAACTGTCAGGAGCGTCTGTGCTCTGCATCTCACACCTTCAAATGCCACCATGCATTCACTGCGCGGCGATGTCGTCTTCTGAGGTGCAAGTCATTTATTAAATAAGGAAAAGACTCTCGTTGCTTCTCCTACCGCAGCAAATTCCATTTTTACTGTTGATATTTGGCACCAGTTAATCAGGAAGTGACGATTTTGTTTTCTTTGACTCGTTGGATGGAAACGCTGCATTATGCGCACATCTTTTATGCGATAATCCAGGTTTGTACATAAAATTAATTAGCATTTTTGGATGGAAACATAGCTAGTGATTTGCATAGTATTGATTGATTTGGATACAGGTTTTCAGCTTTCTTCATAATATCATCTTTTGTGTTCAACAGAATAAAGAAACTCATGAAAGTTTAAAACCACTTGTGTGGGCAAATTAAAATGATTGGAGCACTATCCCTTTTAATTTAAAGTCTTACAAAATTACTTAATTCACTCTCCTTTGGCTTAGTACCTTATTTATCTGGGGTCGCCACAGTGGAATGAACTGCCAACTCACACTCTCATATTCACACGCACTAGAGCCAGTTGAGTTTATTCAGTTAACCTATAGCGCATGTGTTTGGACTGTGGGGGAAACCGGGGAGCACCCGGAGGAAACCCACGCCAACATGAGGAAAACATGCAAACTCCAGACAGAAATGCCAACTGACCCAGCCGGGACTCGAACCAGCGACCTTCTTGCTGTGAGGCAACAGTGCTAACCACTTGGTCACAGTGCCGCTTCTTTATTTTATTTAATGAAATAATAAATAATTTTTAAAAAGCATTTTTGACCAAGTGCATCCAGAATTTTTAGTTTCTGCCCAGAATTTTCATTTCAGTGCATCCATAGTAAATTCCCTTTTTCTTTTGGCCACTATTAGTATAACCAATCAGCTAATTGTGTACAGTTGAAGTTAGGAATCTTTCAATGTTTCCTATAATATTTTTTTTTTTTTTGAAGAACATCTTATGTGATTTAAGTTGGCTAGAATAAAAGCAGTTTAACAAAAGTTTTCTAAACCATTTTAAGGTCAATATTATTAGCCCCCTTTAGCAATATTGGTTTCGATTGTCTACACAACAAACCATCATTATACAATGAATTGCCTGGTTACTCTTACTTACCTAATTACCCTAGTTAAGTCTTTAGATGTCATTTTAACCTTCTATGGCCTCACATTTTAGCTCTTAAGTGGCTATTTACAATAATAAATGTTTTATATTTTGTTACAGACATACAGTGTCATCCTGCAACTGTTTTGCAGCATATGAAATGTCCCAAACACTATTTTTAACTGTCCAAAATGGGGGGGAAATGTTGTTTTTACTCTATAATAGTCTGTTTTGTGTAAATTTGGACCACAAGTCCACATATATAGACATCATCTTTCTCTAAGTACATCATATCAAAAGATGATACTTAAGTTTTATTTTAACTAGGTTCCAATAAGCCAAAATGGCAAAGAGAAATAAATAATGCTTGTAAAAAAACACCTTAGGCCTTAATATAATATTAATATTAACATAATATTTGACTAGATATTCTTCAAGATACTAGTATTCAGCTTAACCTCTTTACGCTGAATATCTTAAAGAATATCTAGTTTCAAGAGTTCACACTTAGCTGATGATTTATAAAAGCTTGTTTGGCATGCTGTCCCGGGAGAGAGCCCCGAGCTCAAGGACTCCTCGGGTCCGGGGCTTCCTCCCGTTTGGCAGAGCGAGAAGGGAGCCTGAGCTCGGTGGATCTCAGAACTCCCCCGCTGCGGTAGCTAAGGGAACACGAGGGTTAGATAAATGCTTGATTGTTATGTTAGTTGAATGTCTTTGGATGGTGGGAGGAAACTGGAAAACCCACGCGGACACGGGGAGAACATACAAACTCCTCACAGAAACACCCACCGGTCCTGTGGGACCAGGGCCGGCAGTGTTCTTGCTGTGGGGCTCGCAGTGCTAACCACTGGGCCACCGTGTCGCCCAATCAGAAGTAAAGGAGGAGAAAAGGGGAGGAGGGGGGTTTCTTCCAAACGAAGATAAAGTGAACTGAAAACTGTGGTTATTTATAGTAGCTTAGGGCTCTTATGATTTGAAGATACTGATTAGCAAATGCGAGACCGGCCGTGATAAATCATAAGCATGTGATCCTCTCAAAATTAATTTATGAATAAACCTCACAAAATATTATGTACTATAATCATGGCAAAGATAAAAAAATCAGTTATTGGAAATGAGTTATTAAAACTTATGTCTAGAAACGTTTTGAAAAAAATCTTCTTTCCGTTAAACAGAAATTGAGGAAAAAATAAGGAGGGGTGTGTGTGGGGGGGTAATTTAGAATTTAGGAGAGCTAATGATTCTGACTTAACATGTGTGTTGATAGCTGCTAGTTTGTAAAGCTTTGTTCACCTGAGCGGTCTGGCCTTCAACACCAGCATGCTGACAGCTATGATTTATGAGCAGTGACTGAGCGCCGGTGGCTGTAGAGGCATGTAATATAAACACAGCGGCGACTGGAGGATGACATATTAAATCCTTTCTGTCATGTCTACATCTACCTAATCCACACCAACTCTGATGTAGGCATGTGCTGATGTTCAATATATCGTGATCATGAACATGCACAATATTGAGATCATGGCCATTTCAAAATACAGTGAAATAAATATTTATCGTTGAAACGTTTAGTGCTTTTTAAGAATATTCATGCTGTTGTATGTTCAGTGGCGTTCAGAACATTTCAAATGCTTGAAGACTTTATATGCCGTTTGTTTTCAAATAATGACATTTTCACATGTTAATCTGGCCTGTGACCATAACTTTTTGTAAAGTAAGGCTGCATTTGCTAACATTAGTCAATTTACAGCAGAAAAAATAAGTATTAAACATGTCATGTTTTTTCCTGGGCATAATATTTCTAATGGAATTGAAGCAGATTTTGGAAAAAACCAAAACAATACAAACATAAAAATAAAACCAAACCAATAAAATACATAACACCATAAAATTACACCAGGAGAAAGTGCTGAACTACTGAAACATATTTAATACTGTATATAAAGGGCTTTTTTGCTGATGGCAACTTACAGACGCCTCTCATATGGAGAATGAAGTCACATGCATTGCTCAGGTGTGAGTTTTTCCACAGACTTTACAGTGTCAAAATCTTGATGGTTCTGTGGGTCTTGTCTATTAAAGCTGAGCTTTATTTTGTATGCTCTATTGGATTCAGGTCAGGTGATTGGCTGGGCCATTCTACAGCTTGTTTTTTTTTTTTTTCTCTGAAAGCATTTGAGAGTTTCCTCGGCTGTGTTTTACATCATTGTCTTGCTGAAATGTCCACCCTGGTTTCATCCTCTTGCTAATGTAGATGTTGGACTGAAGCAGCTGTTATTAAATTACACTGAAGAAGAGCAGAGGGTTGCTGAAAAACTACTAATAGATTTCAGCTGCTGTCTGGGCTTTCACTGCTTTTCTGCTCCTTCCTTTCTTCATGTGTTAAATACTTTTTCCCTGCGTTATTTCATTCTATTATGTGTAACTTCATTTGTAAACTAATTAGATTTGCTTTTAGCTTTAGCTTTGCATATATGGATTGCTTTGGTTGTTTTCTGAGAAGAATGGTGACGTGTTCAGTGCTTATTTCTCCCACTTTAACTTAATTCAGACCACAAAGAAATCATTAATTTTAGCTGATGCCAAAAAATAAAAAATAAATAAAAAATAAAAAGTTCTAATGGAGTTAATAACTTACGAAGTTCAGTTGTATTTTTTACTAACTTTCCGTTTAACAGTATTATGGTTATCACTGTTGATTTTAATGCATTGACTAACATTTATCAGTGTAAAGTGTTGCCTAATGTACTTTATCATCCCTTTGGAATTTTATTTAAAATATATATATATATATATATATATATATATATATATATATATATTTCTGAACATGTACAAGCAATACACATTTGTTTTGTGGTTATTATACCTGTTAAAGTAATATTTTATGCAGCTTAGGCTAATATCTTGATAATACTGTTTACTATTGGATGCTAGATTAAGGGAAACATCATAATAACAATTATTTTGGTTGTAAAAAGGCTAATATATCAGTTATCAGCCTCTAAATCTTAAGAGTTATCAGTTATACAGTATCGATATTGATCCCTTTATCAGAGGAATGAATGTGAACTGCTTGAAAGAGGGCGTGTTATGATGCAATAATAGTTTTATCTTAATTAATGTTTTTTTCATAAATGTTGAAGGCCAAAATTGAAATTGAGTTGTGATTTAATTGCACAGCCCTGGCTTATACCGTGATAAAAGCTAAACAAGTAAACACAATAAGCCTAGTCTGATGTTGAGGAATTCTTACATTCGGAGATGAGTGAGCCTATGTCCTCGGTGGCTCTGGCTGTGCGGCGCAGCATTGTTTTGGATGAGGAGGATGATGATGATGATGATCGGGATTGGAGAATTGTGGCTGGAGGGTCTGCTGAGATCTGGAAGGGTTTTGGGTTTGAGGGCCCGACTGGTTGCGTGGTTCTCATAAGCAGGAGGAAAAACGAGGCACCAAACAGGATGAAGGCGAGGGTGACCTCTTTCCATACCCTCATCTTAGAGCAGCGTGGAGCATTGAAACTCTGAAAAAACAGATGTTAGACATACACGTTAGACACAAGCTGTAGATGTTTAGTTAAAGGGATAGATTAGTCACCTATGTTTTTTTTTTTGTTGAACACAAAAGATGATATTTTGAAGAAAGCTGAAAACCTGTAATCGTTGACTTTCATTGTAGAAAGAACAAATATCATAGAAGTCAATGGTTACAGGTTTAAAATTTTTTTTTTTTCAAAATATCTTCTTCTTTCAAGAGTTCACACTTAGCTCATGCTTTATACATAGCTTGTTTGGCATGCTGTCAAAATGTAATTTACTTTCATTCTCTCAATCGCAGTGAAATAGGGGCTTCTGTTGTGTCAGTGTAAGACTGGCCAGCTAGGTTCACGCAGTGAATTGTGCACAGCTTCTGCACTATTATGTAGTTGGAGCGTTGTAAATACTCGCTCTTTCCTCCCTAGCCAAAGTAAGCTACAGCGACATAGCGCATATGAGATAAATGACGTCAGTACATAATAACCGGTTATGATTATTACTGAACCGATACTGAATTGTCCGCATCTGCATCATAGTGCACCGAAGAAACAATTCATTTTGACACCCCTAGAATAAACATTACAAATTTAGATTTCAAGTGGACTTCAGTTGTGTTAACAGGTACAACAAAACATTTAAAGTTGTTTTTAGATTTAATTTGAACAATATAGATAAAAAAAAAATATATATAATATTTGTTGTGATCTTATATTGATTATTTAATAGCGTCAACCAGAATTTGATGTTATTAATTGTTCTTATTTCTCTCTCCCTCTTTGTTGTGCTTGAATTAGTTGCATCACTGTCAGTCATGTGACACAAAACCCAACTACACTTGCCAGTGAACTCAGCACAGCAAATCTGAAGTACTATTTTTATGCTTTCCTTCTTTTCAGAGCTTGGCAGTGTAAATCATACAGTTCCTTCACAATGTTTCCCTTCTGCAATTCAGAAAAATAGTCACAATGCTCAATTTAAGTGACGATGCATGTACTTTCGAGGACTGTCTTTTGTATGTTGTGCATACTTGGCACACAGCGTTTTTAATAACCTTTAAGTCTACTATAAAGACTCACTGTCTGTGTTGAATGCTCCGAGATCATCTTGTTTGTACAGTATGAATGAGTTTGACTCTTTCAGGTCATGATCTTTTATCCGTATTGTCTGGTTTCCCCATCTTTACGAAGGCGTGTCCTTCAGAACATCTGCCAGGGTGGAGACCCCACAATCTTTGAACACAACAAGCCCAAACAATCAGACTCCCTTTTCCTGAGGGCGAAATCTCTGTTTGATGAGTTGAGATCCATTCAATGCTAGGGAATTAAAGACAGTAAACAAACCTCATCAGGTCGAGTTGGAATCCTTGTTATGTTGTTGTTGCATTTATTTATTTATTTTTTTGCTTCTGATGAAATGTGAATTACTAACATTTTATTATTTCTGCTAAAATATTTAACATTTCTTTTCTTTTTAAAAATGACCTTTCATGCAAATAATTTGATTACTGATGTCCATGTGTTTGCGTTGCCGGTGTGAAAATCAGCCCATGCACGTACTGAAACTTCCCTTTTCATGCAAACCCTTCCCTCTTTCACCAATCAACACTCACAATACCTTAACAAAGCTGGACTCACCCACTTTCCAGACTTGTTTCAAACTAGAGGTCTGAAAACACCCTGCTGAGATGGGGGGGTGGGTGGGTGCGAGTTTTTTTTTTGGGGGGGGGGTTGTTGGTCGTGAATAAGAAAAAAAATTATAAAATAAACGAAACATGAATGATTAAATAAATAATTAAATAAATAAATAAATCTTACGAGAGTAAGGGGGGGGATGTTGGGGGATTCTTGCTTGGAGGAGTACATTATTCTCAATATGGATTAAAGGGTCTCATGTTTTGTAAAATATCCTCGTTGTTCTTCTGAGAAGATTTTTTTTTTCTGTTTTCAAAAAAAGCATTACATCACCAAGCTGTCATTTCCCAACTTCAGCATTTAGTATTTATTTTTAGCTCAACTTTGAGCTGCTCTAGCCAATACAGAGTACCCCCGGGGTCTCAAAAGCTTTGAAAAAGTCTTCAATCTTAAATTTGATTATCTCAAATTAAGGCTTTAATAGCCTTGAATTTGGTATACAAAGTCTTGGATATCGTTACAAAGGTCTTATTTTATTTAGTTATTTTTGCCTGGATTAAAGTTCATACCATAACAAAATTAACTGTTACTAATGTAGGCTAATTAAAAAATTCATGCAGCGTAACGTGCATCTCGCACTCCACGTCATAGCAGAAAGTTCGTCGCTGTAGCTTAGGCTACTATGGCGAGGGAGACGAGCGCAAGTATTTACAACGCTTCTACTTAACGCAGGAACTGTGCTCAATTTCGCTACATGTGTTTTCTGGACAGTCTTTCACTGACATTTACAGCAGAAGCTTCTATTTCACTGCGATTGAGAGAATAAAAGTAAACTATGTATCGTTCTTTCTCAATGTGGCCCTTTTGACCTGCTGTCTTGATTGTTACAGCGATATTTCTGGATAGAGGTCTGCATTCTCGCAGCTTTACCGCGGGAACCGACCAGATTTCTTGCGGCGCGGGAATACATTTCAGAGTGAGCGAGCAAGCGCGCGCATGTGTGTTTGTGTTTATATGTTTAAATGAGAGAGCGTAATGCTGTGTGGTGCTTTGTGTCTGCTGTGTGTGTGTGTGTGTGTTTTTACAGACAGCGGTCCCCCCCCCCCCAAATATAAAACTGTGCATGCACCGAGATATTGAATTGAACCAAATTAATGGCATGATAATCGTAACCGAACTGTGAGACCAGAGTAGGTTCACGTCTCTAATTTCTACATTAGCAGCATTGCCACCACAGCCAAGGAACGTCCTATCTTACTGTGGCTCAACACCAACTCTACCACATGTCTTTGAGCTGTGGGGGAAACCCACACGAATGCAGAGAGAACATGCAAACTCCACACAGAAACGTCAACTGACCCAGCTGAGGCTCGAACCAGCAACCTTCTTGCTGTGAGGCGACAGCACTACCTACTGCACCACTGTGTTGCCCATTTTCATTTTTTTTATTGTATTATTATTATTAAAATCTATCATTTTTGATATATTTTTAAGATCTAATGTGCTGCATACAGTTGGCCAATCACAACTGACTAAGTCATCACCTGACCAATCACAGCAGATTAGCATCATACAAAGCAGGGATTTGGAAAAAGGTTTGGTTGAGGGACTTGTTTGGGAGTCCTTGAGAAAATCAGATCAAAACAAGGCCATATTACAAGAAAATGAAAGCATTTTTGACCTTGTAAAGTCAAACCCAAAATTATTTATACCACTGGTGGATTCTGACTGGTTCAAAGGTAAATAAAAGCTGAGAAATATATATATATTTTTCCACAGTGTCTTGTACAGCTTATGATAGAAGCCTGTGTCATTTCTGGTTCAAAAAAACTTGCTGGTTAAATAAAAGTTACTAAAAGTCAGATTTTACCCAGGGTGTGAATAATAATTTGGGCTATACAAGGACTGCCAAAACCAAATATGAAATTTTCATAATCCATAATAGAAGCACTGTAATAACTCCAGCCAGCGTGTGTTGTGGTTTTGTGGAAAAGTTGTAGTGCTTTCTTTCTTTTCTTTCATGCCGGTCTGCTGGTAGAAAGTTTCCATCCAGATCTTTGTGTTGTCTTTTGTTTATTCAGATACACACGGGTCGATGGAGCATATATATTTAAGCCTGCATGTGTGCACATATTTTCTTTCACGCTCTCAAAAGGCTGCATTCTTGTCCTGCTGAGGAATCCCTCTCAAACACTGTTGTTTTTGCAGTTGAACATTCTGATTGAAAAGTCGTATTGTTTTTTCTCTCTGTGCTATCAGTATAGTTGCTCTTGGGAAAACTCTTCTCCAGATGAGGAAATGGGTAACATTTTTAAGGACATATCCAGACTGTATGTTCTGGAAGTGTTTTGCCAGATTGAATGTATGTACGGTGGTCTTACAGGGTCACTGTGGCTGCCAAGTTAGGATGGTCTGAATTGTTGCAGCTGTTTTGTTGAGCACAAATATTTGAGTAATGCATGTTGGAATAACTGTTTTTTATTTTCTTTTAATTGCTACTAAATTTCACAAGTAACATGGTGATATAAACATGAAATCGAAATACTTAAGAAAATCAAAAAAATTATTAACACTATAATATGTTCATTAGATTTTTAATAAGCCAGTTATTATTTAATATTAAATGCATGTTTGAATTAGAGCTGCACGATTCTGACTAAAATGATGATCGCAAATTTTGTTTATTTATTTTTTTGGTTAAAATAAAGATCACGATTTGAGCCCACTTTCAAGGGTCTGTGACGAAAGCTGCGGGACGAGTTACGCGCCGAAAAATGGTATGGAAGAAGGAAGAAGAAGAAAAAAATAATAATAAGCAGAAAGAGCATAGTACTAATAGGCTTTGCCTATGGCAAACGCCATTAATAACTCGCTTATATTAATCTTTATTTTACATCTACAGAATCATGAGAAAATCGTGATCTTTATTTTAAGCCAAAAAAATCGCGATTCTCATTTTAGCCAGAATCGTGCAGCTCTAACGTACTGTACCTTGGTGACAAGCGGGACTGTGCCAGGGCAAACACAGCGATAGTGTCTGCTTGTCTTCTCCAAAAACAGCTTCTGCAGACACTGTGTGATGTTCTGAACGTTTATAATATTTTTGCGGAAGATAGATGCGAGTCGCTTTCTGTATGTCCAAAACCAAAAGATTCAGTAAAAGCAGAACGACCGCGATGTGGGTACGTCTTTTCATTTTGGCACTTTGCTTTCATGACCGTCACCTAGCAGCAGCTGTAAACAAAACAGCAGCTCTATGACGAAAGCGTACCGTAGTTTAGAAGGAAAAAAGACAGTGTGAACACAAACCAACTGAGGCCCCGTTTACACTAATGCGTTTTAGTTTGAAAACGCAT